GCGAAACAGACAGTTGTCACAAGCATGCATGACGCGAGCGCATGGGTATCGTGGTGGTGGGTGGTGGCTGCACCTTTGCAAGGAGCTCCAGCTCCTGCTGCTTCGCCTCAATTTGGGCCTTCATCTGCTCGGCCTCGGCCAGTGCCCTGGGGTCGCGCACAACACAACAGTGAGGCATGAGCGGGACAGGAGAGGGAGAAGCAAACTGGAACACACGTGGCGAAAAAGGTGCACACACTGGCTAGCAGATGAATGCGACAGACACACAGACACACACATAGACCCACACACAGAAACAGACAAAACGCCGCGGGCACAGCACCTCTCTCGTTCGCGCTGGGCCTCCTCGGCCTCCTTGGCCTTGAGCTCGGCGAGCCGGCGCGCCTCCCCCGCGTCCTCAATTTGCTGCAGACGCAGGGCCTCCTGACGCGCACGCTCAGCCTCGGCCTCGGCCTTCTTCGCCTCCAACTCGTGCGCCAGCCTGACCAGGTGTGAAACCAAAATGCAATGGGTGAGTCGCCGTGCAGTGGTGCAGTGGTGGTGCTGTGGGGCGACGCACGCACACACACACACACACACACACACACACATGTACACACTCCCACAAAGCGTTCGCACATGCACACTAAAACACGTACGCGCGCACACACACACACGCACACACACACACACACACGTCAACACATGCAGACCTGATTTCCTCAGCCTTGCGGGCTTCGAGTTCGGCCTTTTCGCGCTCGAGGCGTTGGCCCTCAAGCAGTTTCTCTATCTCCGCCTGGCGCTTCGCTTCCGCAATCGCTCGTTGCGCAGCCTCGCTGCACAACGGGTCACCAGTGTTTGATTTGGGGGAAGGGCGATGAGGTGTGTGATCAAACGCACAGACAAAAGAGGGAGGTGTACGAGTGCAAGTGTGCTGTTTTTAAAAGGGTAAATCAGTCACTCCTCGTGCAACTTCACATCATCACATCATGACACCATCACATCATCTCACCGCTTCTCGGCCTCCGCGCGCTGTGCAGCAGTCATGCGCGCGCGCTCCTGCTTCTTTTTAAAGACCTTGCGCGCAAAGTGAGAACGCACAGCACACTGGGTGCGGACCTGTGGTTGGCGGGTTGTGGCACGTGGGTGCATCGTGGATGTGTGTGTGTGTGTGTGTGTGTGTGTGTGTGTGTGTGTGTGTGTGAGCGCTCGAAAGCGATACTCGAGGACAAGCAAGAACAACAACACAACGCACAAACACACGGCAGAATGAGAACGAGGAAACGAACGAAACAAGGTCAAACAGCAAACACACATACACACAATACACACGTATACATATGCACGCACGGGTGTGAACACTTACGACGTCGTCATAGAACTTCTCCATGGCCTTCTCGAGCAGGTCGAGGTGGTAGTACTTGAGGAACAGCTTTGTTTTGCCAACCTTCCAGTTCTGCAGACCCGCATACTGGATGATCTTCACTGCCGTCGCTTCCGTCTGCTTCACTTGGTTCAGCTTCGTCACAGGGAATGCAATGATTTTGTACCTGCGCAGTCGGCAGACGTCGAATGAGATGTCTTTGTCATCAACGCGGCCACTGATCGAGCCAAAAGGGCAGGTACACACACACACACACACACACACACACACACAGAGCGTTGCGCACCTTTCGACGAATTCGGCAAATGCCGGGCGCCAGGAATATCCCTCCTGGCGGATACGGGTTGCCTCAAGCACGCCTGCGCAGCGGTGCGTGTGTGAGACACGACGGAGGCGTGATCGCACACGGCCAGCCTGAGCACTCGCAGAAGAGCACAGGACAGCACACACACACACATACACAAAGTCGTACAAATGCGCACACAGCACACACACACACACACACACACACACACACACACACACACACACACACAAAGCCGTGCAAAGACGCACACGCACGACGCAGCAGCACCCTCTCCCTCGCCCCCTCTCTCCAAACCGGATCACGACAACAGGAGACGGACAGACCTGTGTAGCCAAGCTGCTTGAGAACAAACTCGTCGATGAATTTGTCTGGGCGCTGGTCAAGGTTTGGCTTGATGCAGCGCACAAAGTGGGGGAAGCACGCGTTCATGCGCTCCACCAGGATGGAGAGGGAGTTCTTGAACTGCGAGGAGAGTGACGGTGTGCGTCGGTTGGCGGTGTTGTTGCTGCGCTTGGCAGGTGACTCAACCTCCTGTCCGCGTCGCACACGCCGCTGTTGCCGCGCAGGGGAGGTTGGGTAGCATGCGTGAGCAGTGGGTTGCATGTGAGCCAAATTGTGCGTGAGTTGTGTGTTGTGGTGCGTTGCAATCGTGTGACAACGCGAGCAAGGACGTGGGTGTGTATCTGAGTGCTTCACGACAACAAGCTGGCACGGCATCCATGGTGACACGTAGCGGAGGGAAAAGGGAAGGTGGAGGTGAGCACAGCCCCTGCGCGCTCACCTCGACGTCATGCTGGACGGCGCGGATTTGGCCCGTCGGCAGGATCTCGCCATTGAAGACGTCGTTCACAACGCCGCGGTCGCACGTCTGCACGTGGTGTGACGGTCGTGGCAACGATTGACGCGTGAGCACACTTGACAGCACTGGTAGTACCACACATTATTCCACGCGAAAGGCTCCCCAAAGAAGTCACACACACGCACACACACACACACGCACGTACGCGCATGAGGTTGACAATGTCTGCGGCGAGGTTGTCGCGGTTCTTCTCAATCATGTTGGTGGCGTTGTACTCCACGTCGGCCGCAAAGTGCTGGATGGTGAATGCGGGGTGCCCGCGCGACACTTTCACAGGCAGGAACGCCCTAATGATGGTTATGATGGTGATGATGGTTGTGATGAGGATGGTGATGGTCGGGGTGGTGTGACGAAGGGGTGCCAAGAAGGCGTGAGAGTGGGCATGAGAGTGATGATTGAGAAGGATCAAATTGCAAGTAGCCCCAGCAGCGACGAGCAGACAAGAGAGCAGGGATGGTGCGGGGAGTGGAAGCGTCTCAACAACTCACGGCACATCCTTGAAGTGCTTGTTGAGCTTGTCCACAAACGACTGGTCCGTCGCCTGTTGGTCAATCAATGAGCACCGCAGAGAATTCGCGCTTGTGAGGGAATGAAAACCAAGCAACATACTGTGCACACAAGGGCAAGTGGTTCAACACACACACACATACACAAGAGTACTAACCTGAGGGAATGCGCACTCCTCATCAAGAAGCGTGAGGATGCCGATGGGCTTTTGGAGAAACATCTGTCCATATGCAAATGCACCGTGAGCAATGGATGAAAAGGTGAGGGCGTACTGTCGCAGCACAGCCAACCAACACACACACACACACACATGCATGCACATACTACGTGTACAACGCAGGCAAAGCGCGGGGCGTACGTCGAGGAGAGGCTTGTTGTCGCGGTATGAGATGGATGCGCCATCAATCCCTTCGGCCTCGTATTCCTCAAGCTCAAGGCGGAACGTGTGCTGGTTGAAGAAGTATTGCAGCTGCTCGTGCGCAAGGTTGATGCAAATCTGCTCAAACGAGTTGTCCTGAAAGTTCTCAAAACCGAAAATGTCGAGCACACCAATCTCGTACGTCGGTGCAACGCGGCTCGCAGCACCGGGGCGGCCCTCTGTCATTCGGAGAAGGGGTGTCGGTATGTACGTTAGGATGTGTGTGAGCGCGCGTGGTGCATGTGTATGTGCATGTATGTTTCATGTATGTGTGTGCGCGTGTGCGTGCGCGTGTATGCAACGCACTTGCAATCTTGAGCTGCTGCAGTTCCGGGGAGAGCATCTCGTTGATGCGCTGGACGATCCATCCGAACATGCTCCCGTACAGCGCCTGCACACAGCACCACGTGCACGCCAACGCAACGTGAGACGGCGACGACGGTATGTGCACAGCACAGAGCAGAGCAAAGTACAACACAAGAAAACACTTCTGGACAGCAAAAGCATGATGGAGCGGAAAAACACCCGTGTACAGATATACACAAATGTGTCATACACACGCAGGCACAGTGTCATACACACGCGCATACAACCATACACACGCACGCACAGTGTCATACACACGCTCATACAGACATTCAGACACACACACACACACACACACACACACACACAGACAGACGGCGCACCTTTGCGAGGGCATCGCGGCAGTCGTATGCGTGGTCGACGTCGTACAAGCGGCGAATTTTCTCACCGCGCGTGACCGTGTCAAAGCCGAGCAGGACACTCGCAAGGTCCTCAGGTGACACCTGCAGCCGCCGCGTGCATGCACGTCAGTGTATTGCTCAGTCGCCAACAATGGCATATGGTGCATGCACACACACACACACACGCACACTCACACACGCACACACACACACATACACACGGAGTAAGGAGCGAAACGGAGCAAGATGGGCACCTTCAGGAGGTCAGCGGCGTGTGCGAGCGCGGGGCCATCCTTCATCTGCGCGTGCTCGCCCGCGGCCTCAAACTCAACGTTGCCGAGATGAACAACGGCAGCGAGCGTGCTGAACAGGTTGTCAAGGTCCTCATCGCTGAAGCCAACGACATCCATCGCCTCTGCACGCGGCCAGCAATAGTTGTGTGTGTGCATGTGTATGTGTACGCGTCGTGGCGTGAGTGTGAGTGCGTATGTGCGTGCGTATGTGTGTGCGTATGTGTGTGTGCGCGTATGTGTGCGTGTGCGTGTGTATGTGCGCGCGCTCATGCGTCGTGGCGTGATAATACACATACCCGCCCACCCACACACGCCTTCGAACAAGCACACACTCACAGTCACACACGCGCACGTACGTTCGCACAGCCACGCACGCAATCACAACACCTCACCCTTGAGCTCGCGGTACATGTCTGCGTTGTCGAGCCAGGGCTTGCCGCCGAGGGAGTTGAATGCCTGCAGGCAAGCGCGAAGAGTGGGCACACATGCGAATTAGAAGCACGTGGGAGATGATGATATGATGCAATGTCACTGGAAACGTTTTCATGGCATACCAGGCCGCCAATACACACACGCGCACATGTGCGAGCGTTGGTACGCATGAACAAAGCAGCACGGGCGGACCGTTGTTTCGGTGAGGTGATACTTGTCCTTATCGGCGCTCTCAAAGAGGTAGTAGAACACGTGGAAGTTGCGCTCCCCAAACGCCTGTGTGTGTATGTGTGGGTTGGAAAGCGGATGCGAGGGCGTGTGATAAGATTCAATGTGTACCACAAGTGGTAGACAAACACTGCACACGCACGCACGCACACACACGCACACACACACACACACAAACACAAGAGCATTCACGTACGCACACACACGCACATAAAAACAAGAGCATTCACACACACACACACACACACACACGCACGCACACGCACACGCGTACACACACACACACACACACACACACACACACACACACACACACACCTGCTCGACAACGCGCGATTTCTCGAGAAGATATTCCGAGATTTCGACGCCCATGGCGCGACCAGCGGCATCAAAGTAGAGGCGCGTGTACTTTCCAAATCGGGATGAGTTGTCGTTCATCACCGTCTGCGCATTTCCAAACGCCTCAAGCAGGGGGTTGATCTGTGCATGCAGGGTGGGGGTGGTGGGGATTGGTGGCGGGGATTGCGTGTTCATGAGCGAAACGCATGCAGCGCAGCGCACGTGTGGTGCAGCCGATATCAATCGCAGAAGGGGAGAACAGCCAGCATGGTCAGGATTGGTGCAATGGTACAAAAGGCACCAACACACAGGCACACACAGACACACACACAGACACACACACAGACACACACACACATACAGCCCATGATGGGCACCTTGAGGATCTGCTCTTCGAGGTTGAGCTCGGAGGTCGACGGGTCCACGTCCCGGCACAGCTCAATGATGTAGTTGATTACCAGCTTTGCGCTCTCCGTCTTGCCCGCGCCAGACTCGCCGCTGTTGTTGTAAGGGCGTGTTTGTGTTTGTGTTTGTGTTTGTGTTTGTGATTGAACATGAACGTGAACGTGAGCGTGTAAAACGCCAGGCGCCCAGACGAATGTACCCAGTTCTCCACCACACAAATATACATACACGTAAATATACACACATACACACGCCCACACATACACACACGTGTTAGGCGCCTGACCTGATGACGGCGCACTGGTTCTTTTTCATGGTGAAGAGGTTGTGGTAGCAGGCGTCTGCAATCACGTAGATGTGCGGGTCCACGCTGTGGCGCGGCTGGTTGTTGTACGTCACCATCGTGTCTGTTATGACAGATGCACGGAAACACACGAAGAAGCACGATGCAGGCCATGCGTTGTTAAACCAGTGTAGTAATGAGTGATCTGCCAAGGCACGCAAAGGCAATTGTGCTCGAAACATGATATGAAGCGCAAGCAGACGGAGGGAACGCACTCGTGCCGTAGATGGGAAGCTGCTTGAACGGGTTGACAGCAATGAGGATGTCACTGATGAAGGTGTAGATGATGTCGCGCTCGTAGCGCACCTAACCAGAGCAGTTGCGCCAACGGAAGGAAGCAAGCAAGCAAGCGCACATGAGTACAATCTCAGCGGTTGGTGGCGCTTGTGACACTGGCTGTGCAGCACGAATGCAAATGTGGCTCATCCCATGAACAGCGGCATGACTCGAGGTACAAGCCCATGTATCGGGCACGCACGCACACACACACACACACACACACATACACACACATACACACACGCACACACCTTGATCTCCTTCAGCAGCGTCTGTTCGTTGAGGTTTGTGAGCTTGGCAAGGTCGCCCACTTCACCCGTGACATGGTCAGGTGGCGGTGCGTAGAAGGCGTCGTCCTCTTCCTTGGGCGTGTCGTCCTGTTGCTGGGTTTCAGTCGTCGCTGTCGATGCTGCTTGTTGTTGTTGTTGTTCTGCTTCTGGCTGAGTTGGGGGTTCAGCCTCAGCGGCGTTGGAGGTTGTCTCAGCGGCATTTGGGGTAGCGTTCTCACCCCGATCGCTTTCGGGTTGGCTCATCTCGCCTGCCTCCTCCTCAGCGTCGTCGTCGCTGCTGCCGGCCTCTGGCTCCTCGTCAGGTTTGGCTGCCTCAGTAGCCGTGGCACCTTGCTGTTGCTGCTGCTCGTCAGCCTGCTGTTGCTGCTGCTGTTGTTGTTGTTGTTGTTGTTGTTGTTCCACGGCTTGTTCATGCTCTTCAGTGGTGGGTGCCTCCTCTTCAACTGCCTGAGGAACATCCTGCGTGTCCTCGGAAGACGACATGCTGCCGCTGTTTTCCTGCGAAGATGGATGGGGGGTGATGCAGCGGGCGTAGGTTGGTTGCTGCTTTCACTGTTTGTGTGTTTTGTTGTTTGTGTTGGTGCGCCAAGAACAACTCAGCAGCGTTGCGGAAAATTGGCAAAGTAGTGCAATATCCAAATGGACCCACTCGTGCATTTTGAACACAGATACTGAAATCAGTCGAGATGGCTGGCGTTGTGTTGCTTGTTGTGCTTGTTGTTGTTTGTTTGGTGTGTGTGTGTCGACATCACTCTCACACACACACACACACTCTCTCTCTCTCACACACACACACACGCAGATTCACACCCTGACACGCTCACACACGCGTTTGACGATGATGATTGTGTACAATCAAAGAGAGGACGGGGAATGTGCACAATCCATCAATCAATCAATCAGTCAATCAAGCGGCCCGAGCAGTCAAGACTTGATCACTCGTGGCAATCATTCAGAAAAAGAACATGTAACAACAAACGCACACACACAAACACACAAACACACACAAGAGGGAGGGTGGAAGGCAAAGCCGCAAGACCGCCCAGTCACCACCCATCAGGCAGGTGACTGCAGGTGGTTGGGGGCAAGATGGGCTTGGGGAAATGGGTGTGTGGTGGGGAGAGGGGGTTTTCGAGGGAGCGGGGGGGGGGTAGTTGATGTGTGTGCTAACGAAGGATGCAAACGGGAGGGAAGCCGTTGGCTGATGACAGCGGACCAGGGAGAGGCGGAGAAGCGTCCTCATTTCGCTCACTCACGCTCACCCACAACGCGCGCTTGGGCTCAAGCACGAGCGAACTCAATGCGAAGAGCACCGTCGCCCAGGAGCTGCAGGGTGGGGGTGCAAGGAAAAAATGGCGGCAGTTGGGGTGAGGAGGGCATGGATGGCAAACATGCTCAGCAGGTGCAGTATGTCACAAGAGTTTCATGTACCCATCACATTTGACTCGTCGCCAACGCACGCAAGGCACCCAGAGCATGAAGGTGTGGTGCACACAACAAAGCACAGCATAACACCGCACACAGAGCATGCGCACACGCACCATCTGGCCGTTGGAGTTGACGGCAGCGGTGGCGTTGTCCTCGGTGTCAAAGTTCATGAAGGCGCTGTTGCGGCGCAGGTCAACAGACTGCACACCAGGGAACACACCCTTGAACTGCACAAACACACACGCAAGTGGGTGATGTGAGATGCACAAGTTTGCCGAGTACCAGCAGATGGAAAAATAGCCCCTCACACTCATTCACACAACGTTCACACGCGCACGTGTGATGTGCTTACGTCATCCTCGGTGGTGCCTTCAGGGTAGTTGGCGATGAACACACGCGTGTTTGGGCCAGTGCGCTCACTGCACCGAAAGACAAGCAACAATCATCACGAGTGAGAAAAGTGTGTGTGTGTGCGCGTGGGTGCGTTGCGTGTTCTTTGCTGTGGGAGTGGTTACAGCAGTGCCAGCAGCATCAGCAGCATCAGCAGTGCCAGCAAAGACATGGGTGGGGTGTACCGTGGGCCGCGGCGGCGGGGGCGGCGACGGCGACGAGGCATCTCCTTGGAGACAACCAGGTTCACCTCTAAGCAAGGCCAAGCAGAGCACGCAAGGGAAAGAGAGGAGCAAAGCAGAGTAAGAGAGAAGCAAAGCAGTGTGTGAGTATGATGCAGCCAATCAACGACACCCGCCATCAGCACCACCGACCACCATTCCGACCACCAACCCTATTCAACTCCACCACCGTTCTGAACTCCCACTCCCTCTGCCCGTGGGCGCACCGTCGTTGAGGTTGACGTCGTTCTGCTCAAGAGCAACGTCTGCGTCCTCCTCCGTGGCGAAGGTGACGAGCGCAAACCCGCCGCGCGGCCGCTCGTACTTGGTGATGTCGCCGGCAAAAAAGCCGCGCACAGCATCATCTGAACCACACACACACACACACACACACACACACACACACAGACAGAGCATATGAGATGGAGCAGTTGCACACCATCGCAATCACATGAAATTCAGCATGTAGCAACAACGATGCAACCGCAGCAGACACACGAACGTACAGCGGTTCGTGCACGCGCGCAGGCAACCAACACTGCCCTGCCCTGCCCCTCTGCCGCTCACCGTTGAGGCCCTCGATGTTGCCGACGAAGACGGTGTTGGCGTCGAGGCCACGGCGCTCGCGCGGGCGCTTCGGGGCGGCCTGCTCGCGGCGGGCAGGGGCACCGGTGCCCTCCACGGCGGCGGCGTTGCGCGGGCGGCGGATGTTGACGTAGGGGCGCACGTGGATGGGGCCCGCGCCGTCGGAGAGGACAAGGCCGTCCTTGCTGAGGGCGGCTGCGGCGGCATCGGGCGACTCGTACGTGATGAACGCGGCACGGCGGCTGCGGCGGATGAAGCGAGAAATGGGGCCGGCCTCGCCCATCACAGCCTTCAGCTCCTCATCTGCAAATTCGTGGTGGTGGTGTTAGCATGTGTGGGTAATGGCCTTTGGGAGAAGCAGAACGTGCAAAAAACAGCCTTGGGAGGTCATGGCGAGGGAGCAACATGAGTACAGCCTACCCAGCCACACACCACAGCCTTCCAAGCAACATTTCACTCCACTCCACATCACCACACGGTGGTGAGTGCGCCATGCACGTACCCTGGACATCAGGCGGGCCTGTGACGGCAACCCTGACGGGGTCTGGGTCGCCCTCCAGGATCGGCGCCTGGCGGATGATGGGGCGGTGCGGCTCAACACGCAGCGACGTGCCTGCACACGCGCATGGCAACGCACACGCACACACACACACACACACACACACAACACAGCGAACAAGCAAACATGACGACATGTACCAAACAGTCGTGAGCAGGAAGCATGCTCAAGAAAAAAGCAACAAAGAAAGAAAGCCGCAGCATTTTCGGTGCAGCCAGCAGGCAAGGCATGTGTGTGTGTCTTGTGCGTGTGTATGCATGTGCATGCGCGGGAGGTGGCCGATGCTCAGTTCAACACGGGAGCTGGCAGATATAAAGGTGCCCACCGTCGCCAAGCTGGTAGCCGTTCTGGTTGAGGGCACTGGCGGCATCGGCCTCGTTGGCGAAGCGAACAAACGCATAGCGGCCGTGGGAGCTGCGGTTCAGCTCCTCAATCGAGCCCCCGAGGATGGCACGAACATCGTCGTCTAAAAAGCGGCGCCCAGCGCAATGGTGGTTGGGATATGAGTGGGATATGAGGGGTTGGGCCACACACAACGCGAGTCCGTGTGCGTGAGAAGGTGGCCACAAATGTAGGTGCACACAAGTGTGTGGTGCGGATGTTTGGGTGGGTACTTTGTGCGCGCGTGTGCATGGGTGTAAGCTAACTCAACCCTAACGGCCACCACTGACCAGAGAGGGTGCTGATGTTGGCGACGTAGACGAGAGTGGGCTCGCCCTCACCGCGGGGAAGCTCCTCACGCTGCCTACAACATTGTCCAACACCACCCACAACAAATGAGCACAGGCATCAACAAAAATACGGCATTGAGGACGCAGTAAGCACGCAAGGTGGTGCCCAGCACGCGTGTGCGGCTCAATGACTCGCCGCGAGGAAACCGCCCAAATCAATCACCTCGCTTGGTGGATTGGTGCATCGTGCGGCACCCGACCCCTTACCCCTACTCTCCCTCCATCCCTCGTCGCAAAGTTGACAACAGGGCGGTGGTTGCTTACGGGGGCAGGCGCTTGAAGGCGACGGAGGTGTCCTCGCCAAACTGCAGGGCGTTCACGGCGGCGGTGGCAGCGGCCTCCTCGGCAAACTCAACCTCATACAGGAAGCGGTCGTTCCTGACAAATGGAGATGGATATGGACACGAGTATGTGTATGTGTGTGTGTATGTATGCGCATGTTTGTGTGGGTATATGTGCATGTGGGTATATGTGCATGTGGGTGTGGGTGTATGTGTATGTGTGCGTGAATGAGTAAGGGCGCACGCGCAATGTTGGGTGGTGTATGGCAGCGCATCCACACCGTGTTGGGTGGGTGGCTTGCTTCAATGCTCCAGCTGTCCGCACAACGATGACAATGTCAAACTGTGATTCGCGAGCAAGACGAAAGCTGGTGGGTACCTGGTGGTGCGGCAGTCGGCGCTGGTCACCTCGCCAAACTCCGCGGCCTTGTTGCGGATGTTATCGAGCTGGTCATCGGAAGGGATGCCGAGCACGACAACAACCTGCATCATAAGAGGGGGAGGGGAGGAGTAAGAGCAGGAGGAGGAGACAGCGATGAGTCTGACATCTCGAGAACAAATGCAAGCAGGGCAGTGCAAATCGGTGCACAAACACACACACACACACACACACACACAGAGGCAGCGACGCAAGCACGCAACGAGGCTAAGGTGGTGTCACCACATGAACGCACGTTCTTGGAGTAGGTGGGAGCGGGGCGGCGTCCACGACCACGACCACGGCCACGACCACGGCCGCGTGGGCGGCGGGGGGCACGGCCGCGCCTCTGTGGCAGTTCCTCAGTCTCAACCATGCTGGTGGGTTGTGTGGGTGTTTCGTTGACCACGACGGGAGACGAGGTGCGGGTGTTGTTGGGGGATGGGGAAAGAGCGGGAGAACGGGATCCGGCTGTCAGCAAAAAAAAAAGAGCAGATCAAAAGAAAGATAAAAGAAACACAGGAGAGGAGTGAGGAGAGGCGATAGAAGCACGTGAATGGGTCGTAATACCGTGTGAGTGAGTGACGCGCTGAGCGTGAGGGACTTGCTGCGTGTGCGATTGTGATGGAATCTGTGGACACTCGTGTAACACTTCTTCTGGGGCAAGGCGGAATGCCATGCAAGACGAAGAAGCCAGGGTTCCTCACACGAGCACACGCACACGCACAAGCCAAGGAATCGAAAAAAGATTGTCGCGCATGCGAAGCCACCCACACCCAAGCCAAGCGCACAAAGACCACGCGGTCCACAGCGTCAGACTGACCGCAAACCAACACAGGAACCACCACAAGCACCCCATATCCACCACTGTGGCTTGCAGTGGCACCAACGTGCGCTCTTTCATCGTGCGTGCGATGTTGCAGCAAGAACACACCTGAAGAATTCTTTCGTGAAAATGCGAAAAATATCTGCACACTTTACACAGATTGCGCTGTTGTGCTTGTGCTTGTGTGTGTGTGTGCTTGTGTGTGCTTGGGCGTGTGTGTGTGTGCTTGTGTGTGTGTGTGTGCAGACCACAGCGAGCAAAGAGCCACAGGGAAGAAGCAGTTCGCGTTGTGTGTATCGTTCTTGTGTTGTGATAACAGAGCAGTGGACGGCAGACATAATGTAACATAACAAAGTCAGAACAACCGAATCGAAAGTGAAAGTGACATGTCACAAACGCAAACCAACTGCAAACGTGCACGCGAGGTGGCGAAAGCATAATGCGGGATGATGAGCACGTTCAGCGAAACGTAACAGGTCTGCTGAGCACAACGCGAAAGAGAGAAATTAACAAAACAGTGAGCGAGTGTGTGTGTGTGTGTGTGTGGCCGTCAGTGTCAGAAGAGGTCACTGCTGAAGAGATCTGCCGTTTCTTCCAAGTGCTTTTGATGGTGCTGCCGCCATCGCTGCATCTTTGCAGGCTTATCATTGTCACCAGTGGCCGGGGCTGCGCCTCCCTGTGTGTGTGTGTGTGTGTGTGTGTGTGTTTGAATGAGGGGAGAGAACCACTGTCGTTCAGGGAGCCAACGAGTACCCAATGACCACTTTGGGTGGCCCAGAAACGCATGCATGGCAGTCCAGTACAAGTCGCATATTGTGCCACGCGCACCCTTTTCCTGTGCCTTCGTTTGCGATGTGATTTGGTTGCCTTCGATGACAAAGACGCCTCGGCCGCGCCCTCGTCCTCATCGTCCTCATCGTGCTGCTGCTGCTGCTGCTGCTGCTGCTGCTGCTGCTGCTGCTGCTGCTGCTGCTGTTGTTGTTGTTGTTGTTGTTGTTGTTGTTGTTGTTGTTGTTGTTGTTGTTGCTGCTGCTGCTGCTGTTCTTGTTCCACCACCTCTTGTTCTTCCTCTTGTTCCACCACCTCTTGTTCCACCACCTCTTGTTCTTCCTCTTGTTCTACCTCTTGTTCTACCACCTCTTGTTCTTCCTCTTGCTGCTCGCCCCCTGCGTTATTTTCATCGTCATCGCTGTCTTCCAGCCAGGCCGGCGTCTGCACGTCGCTCAAGTGCCGCTTCACAGGCTGTGCAAACACATCCTCCTCCTCCTCCTCCTCCTCCTCGTCAGACTCCTCATCAAACTCGCTCTCCTGGCTTTCCATCCCCTTCACCTCCTCCTGCTCCTTCGCGTCGCGTTTCTGTTCCGTGTTCTCCACCTCTTCTCTCCCGCCATCTTCCTCCTCTTCATTATCCCACTCATCGCTGCTGTCATCTGCAAAGAGAGACTGAACGCCCCCGCCATGACGACGTTCGCGGGCTATCGCTGTTGCTGCTGTCGTCGTGGTTGCTGCACTACTTGCATCAGGCCCCGGCGCCCTCTGCTGACCAGGCTTGCTGGATTGCACCTTTCGGCCAAACAGTAGCTCATCCTCCTCCGAATCGCTGTCTTCATCCCCAAACAGCTCCTGCAGTATCGCAGCCTTCTTCCTGGCAGACGCACTGCCTGTGGCTTCCGTGGCTCTGTCTGCCTCGGCAGTTCCTGTAGTGGTGGTGGTGGTGGTGGTGGTGGTGGTAGTAGTAGTCGTAGTTTGAGGAACGCGTTGTGCTGATGACGTGCCAGGTGTACCATCCCCTGTCGAGCTACTGCTGTAACGACTGGGCGCAGTCGATGCTGTTGATGACCTGCGCAAAGATTGATGTGGCTGCAAGGGTGACTGCTGTGGCTGTTGGGCTGCGGGCTGCGCTGGCTGTGTCGTTGGCTTCGGTTGTGGCTTCTGTTTCGTTGCTGGTGCTGATTCCGTTGACGGCTTCTTCACGGCAGGCTTCGGCTTGATGCCTGGACGCTTCGCCACTGCCGCTGTGTGCGCGCATGGACGGTGTCCTTGTGGCTTGAGCTGCCTGGCGGCCCGAGCCGCCGACACCACAGGCCCTGCCTCAGTGCCTGTTGGGGTGGTTGGGGTTGCTCGTGCTGTCGATGATGTCGACGAAGCTATTGTTGACCGCGACCGTGGCGAAGACAGGGACATACTTGCAGATCGCACGACCCCTGGCGGTTTCGGTGCTGGCTTTGGCCGCGTCGGTGGTGGCTTGTTAGTTGCAGGACGTGGCTTGTTAGTTGCAGGACGTGGCTTGTTAGTTGCAGGAGGTGGCTTGATGGTTGCTCGCACTGGCTTCGCCGCAGGCACTGGCTTGGATGCTGGCGGTGGTTTCGCTGTCGGCGCAGGCTTGGATGCAAGCGGTGGCTTGGATTTCAGCGCAGGTTTCGCCGATGGTGGCTTGGTTGCAGGTGGTGGCTTGGTGGTTGCTCGCACTAGCTTCGCCGTAGGCACTGGCTTGGTTGCTGGCGGTGGCTTGGTAGGCTTTGCCTTCAACGCTGGCTTGTCCTTCAACGCTGGCTTTGCCTTCAACGGTGGCTTTGCCTTCAACGCTGGCTTTGCCTTCAACGGTGGCTTTGCCTTCAACGGTGGCTTTGCCTTCAACGGTGGCTTTGCTGCTACGGCCGGCCGTCGGGCGCTTGCCTTGTCAGCACCAGGCTTCGGTTTCACCAGCGGCGGCGGTGGACGCATATTGGGGGTTGTTGTTTTTATGCTGTCGCAAACCAGAGATGCGCCGAACGCCGTCGTGGATGCTGCTGCTTGTTGTCGTGGGCGCATTCATTGTCTCTCCTCGACCCATTGGTGCAACGACCGACACTCATCATCACGCTGGTGAAGAGGAAGCGCACGAAGCTCGTGGAGGCAACGCCATCATGGCAGACACACACCTTCTCTCCGTCCAATACTGGTACAGGCCCGCCATGCTGTGGTGCTGCTGCTGTTTGTGCGATGGTGGTGGGTGGTGTTGGTGCTGCAGCTGATATTAGGACAGCACATGATGTGATCACGCTTCCGCACCCCCATCACACATCCTGCCCATAACCTTGCCTCACATGTGTCTCCTCCACCACCTTTGGCCCCCTCCCGCTCTGTTCACTTTTTCACAAACACAGTGTTAGCTGAGGCTACCAGAATGCGTTCCAGCAACTGGAACACCGTCTTCAAGTGAGTGAACTAGTGTATGGCCTCTTTTCTTGTCGTCCACAGTCTCTGCTGCCATTGTTGTTGCTTCTGGCTCAGTCCGCCATCTCATCTTTGCTTCGCACTCTCCACCGATGCCCATCTTTGACGCCCACATGTTTCCTGACCCTTACCAATCCTCTCTGCAATGCTGCAACGAGCAGACCATCTACCCTGATCTGGTGATCAAGGGCGAGAACTACATTCCAAATCCAAACGTGCTGACCATTGCCAGCATCATCGACCTGATCAGCTGGACCATCATCCTCCTCATGCTCTTTGGGGACTACATCTTCAATGCCTTGGGCATTGCACCTCCGAACCTCTACCTCCAGGCAAAAGAAAACTCGGTCAGTTGACGCGGTGTGCACGATATGCACGGTGCCACTTGTGTGTGTGTGTGTGTGTGTGTGTGTGTGTGTGTGTGTGTCGGTGTGTGTGTGTGTCGGTGTGTGTGTGTGTCGGTGTGTGTGTCGGTGTGTTTGTGCGTGTGTGCGTGCTTTTTTTTTTGTGTTTGTGTGTGTGTGCGCACGGTGCCGTTTGTGTGCGTGTGTGTGTGTGTGTATTCATGACGTCTGCACTAGCGGTTTTACTCTGTTCAAATGCACGTGCACACACAGCTCTCCTTACCCACTGCTGTTACTCATAAACGGTGTCTTCGAATGCCCCACCCTGCTTGGACCTGCTATCTCGTGGTCCTTACACAGATGCTCGTCATTGTGATGACATTCTTCCTCTCCAACACCATCAAGCAAAACCTCCTCTCCACTGGCGCCTTTGAGATTGCACTCGACGGTGTGTGTGCATATCATACCTGTGTGCGCGCGCGTGTGTGTGAATGAGTGTGAGAGTGTATTTATTTGCATATGTGTGAATGTGTGTGTGTGTGTGTGTCAATGAGTGTGAGTGTGTGTTAATTTGCGAATGTGTCAATGTATGAATGCTCGACTTCCCACCCGCTGTCTTTGTTCTCCAGAGTTGCGTCCATGTCACCCAGTCACACAAGCAGACACAAACATGGTTCTTCTCTGCCTTCTCATCATCTTCCTCTCCCGCGATGCACACGGCACCACATCGACCTTCCCCGCCATCCCTGCCATACTTGCTTCCCCAAGGCGACCTTCTCTTCTCCAAGTTGGAGACAGGTCGTATGCCCGCGTGGCCAGAGCTCATGCGCACTCTCGACGTCAAGCTCAGAACTTGATGCCGCGCTATCGTGTGTATCTGTGTGTGTGTGAGTGTCTGTGTGTCTGTGTCTGTGTGTCTGTCGTTTTGCCTGTGTATGTGTGGTCTGTCTGCCTGTCTGTGTCTCCCTTGCATTTGTTGTCTCCCTTAGGTCTACACTGCAATGCATGCGGGATGTTTGAACATGTGCATTTAACGTGTCATGTCAAGCGTTCTGTGTCTGCAGGCCAACCCGCCACAGGCCGTGCACTGCTTAGTGTTGCTTGATGCACACGACCGGGAGGCGAGACAGGCATGTGTGTGAAGTGGTTGTCAGCGTTGTGATCCACAGCTACCTCAATTGTCGTCCTGACAACGGTGCTTCGTGGTGATGGTGAGGGTCTTGGGTGTGCATTCACTCGCCTCGTTGCGTATTTTGAAGACGGCGCAACGAGCATGTGATTGCGTCACCCCCTCATGCTGACACCTCTTCGCCCTTGTGCCTTCTCTCCACTCCTGTTCTTGTCGCTTCTATTGCGCACCTGCTTCTCGCACCCCGGCTTGTGTCTGCGTGTGTGTGTGCATGTTGTGGTGTCGACTCTGATCAGTACACGGTTCAAAGAGAAGCCACTGCGCACACTTTACGTGCCACAAAAGGGAAAGCATACAGTTCCCAGCACACACACACACGCACACACACATACAGTTGCTTGGCACATCCTCAATCGTTCACCGTGCAAGTCTCGAGAACATTTAATAGTGCCGTGTCACGTCATGTGGGAACAAGAGGATCAACCATTGGTTGTGTAAAACCATGTGTAACAAACACATGCTTCATCCAAAAGCAAGGTCACAGCGCACAGGATCGCGCGTTGCGCAGTCAAGCAGAACACAGCACACTCAGCAACAGTCGCGTACATCGGTGAAAGCATTGTCAGAAGAGAACACAGTAGTCTATCATAGCATAGGCATCACACACTGCGTGGCAGCAACAAGCAAGCAAGCAGAAACCAATTGGCGGCGCCCCTCCATGGCAGTATGGGAGGGAACATGGAACAATGCATGATAGTATGAGAGGTGCACGCCAATCTCACTCAAAGGCGAATGTTGAAACACGTCGCATTCCGTCTGTTAAGAAGGATTAAGGAGAGAGCCCCGATGAGGTGCAGGCGTCTCAGTGGTAACAGACTCGCCGCGACAGACTGGCACGATGGCACACACACGTAAGGTGTGGCTATGATGATGATGATGATGATGATGATGATGATGATGATGATGATGATGACGATGGTGGTGCTGGCAGGGTAAAGGTGTGCAGTGTCCTGTTATTCCTCATCTTCGTCATCACGCTGACGCTCCTTATCGACGCTGGCCGTGATGACTGCAATGATGAGACAGATGATCAAACAGGCGCAAGGAATGTACAGAGGAAGGGAGACGCAAAAGAACAACCAAACAACACGCGTACAGCTTGTGAGGACACGCACACTTGATGCAACATGTACAGCAGCAAGGCAATGCGTGCGTGTGCTGTGCGTGTGCTGTGCGTGTGTGTCTGTGTCAACGGTGTCACATGACGCTCCAACACAGGGAGCCGTATGCACTCTGGGCATCATGTTTGAGACGAGGAAGAACAGAAGAACCATTGTTTGCGAGCAAGCCTGCAAGCAGTCGGTCTCAACGAACTCACGTGAGGCCACAAGGTCGGGGACTGCGCGGCAGATGGCAATGCTGCGGCAGCGAGTGCACTTCTGGCCTGCCAAGGTCGAACAACACACGCACAAAACACGAAAAAGCAAAATTATTATAATGTTCATGTTGAGGACAAGAGTGATGGCGCCAGAGTCGTGACATGTAACCTTGGGGAAAAAACTTCCATGACAACACATCACGCCTGGTCCTCTTCATGAACGTGGGTTTTGTTCAGTGCTTGTTCATGATGGGATGGAGTGTTGGAGCGGTACGGCAACGATGTCCAGGAGTCAACGTACCACGGGGAAGAGATGGGTGGTAGTGCACTGGGGTGCAGGCGAACCCATTCTTGCATCCGCGTGGCATCACGTGCAGCGCTGTTGGAGAAGTGGTGCACCGTGCACATGACTTGAGTGGCTCTCCACAAAAGTGTTAACACACACATGCATCCATGCATGCAAGTACACCACACATACACACACACACACACGCACAGACGAGACGCACGCCAATATGCACACACACACACACACACATGCACGCAAAACCCTAAACACACACACACACACACACACACGCTACACATACACACGTGTCCGTCTGAAATACATACCTGTGGTAAAGGCGGCAACGGTGGCTCTGTTTGGATCTGTGGCCATGGCACGATCAAACTTGATCCACTTGCCAATGTCGTTGTAAATGCTGCAGTAGCACACACCACAAATGCTGCGTGCACAACACAGAGGACACACACCAGTGATGTACACGACGAGACACAACAAGCAAACAAGGGTCCGTCATTGAGTCATGGTACCACCTATCCATCTGCTCCACCAACCTTAACAGCACAACCACAAGCCAACAATATCATGTGGACCCCACTTCCTTCTCCACGTATGACGTCACAGTGAAAACTCCCACAAACCCAAGGGAGGGCAGCACACCAGCAGCAAACTCAAAGGCACACTGCAAACCAAACCACGCGTACTTTGTGTGCGATTCCCGGCCGGGGCCGTGGCAGACGGGACACATGGGCCGCTGTGCCCCCGTGGTCGCGGTGGCGGCTGTTGCTGTGGCGGTGGTAATTGGCACGGTGCCCACAGGGCCTTGAAGTTGGGCCAGCGCAGTGGAGGATGCAGTGGGGGTGCTCAGGCTTGCAATGTATGCTTGCAGCTGTAGGTCGGCAGGGAGGCTCGTGATGCTCAATGCATGGGCAGTATCGGAGGAGGTAGGTGCGGTGTTGCTGCTGCTGCTGCCGTGTGCACCGTTGTTGGCAGCAGAGGTCGCCGCAGCAGAGGTGGAAGTGAAGGTGGGGGTGGAAGCAGCGTAGCTGTACATGCTCCCTGTGCCAGAACTCATCTCAGAGCGGACATCCCCGGCCTTCCACCGCTTGGTGGCAGGCGGGCCATCACCAGGCATGTAGGTGGTGTTTGTGTTGGTGCCGAGAGCAAGTGGCTGCAGCCCAGGCGCTGATGCCACAGACCAGTTGCGCGATGACGAAGAGGAGGACGAGGACGAAGACGGAGGGAATGATGATGTACTAGAGGCTGTGGGCTGCTGCGGTATTGTAGAAAGCGGAAGCGGAGTCAATGACAGCGAGGCAGCAGACGGCAGGGACGCCCCAAACGACTGCTGCTGTTGAGTTGTTGGTGGGGTCGCACTGCCGGTGTCGCTGGTCGCTGCAGTCGAAGGGGTGGCCTGGAAGAGGGCTTGTTGAAGGAGTGCCGTGTACAGCAGCGTGTCTGTGTCCATACCACCACCCTGCATGCTTGCGTTAGCACTGGCGGCAACCAAGGCCGTGCGGATCAGCTCCAACTGCTGCGTGTGTTGTTGTTGTTGTTGTTGTTGTTGTTGTTGTTGTTGCTGCTGCTGCTGCTGCGTCTGCGGCAGTAGGATCTGCCTGGCCTGGATGTCGGTAGCGCGCGGTGCCGTGCCCTGAAGCGGAGAAAGGACCTGGCTCATGAGAGTCACCGGAACGGATGACGGGTCCCGCGTGAACGCAGCGATGGCTGCTGTCGAAGGTGGCGACGTTTGACGGCGCTTGGAATGCACTGCATGTGCTGTTGTGAGCGGCTCAGCATCGTCGAATGGGCTCTGGCCGTCACTGCTCATGCTGAACCGCCATTCGTCCTGCTGCTGCTGCTCGACTTGTTGTTGATCATGGAGTGGTGGCTGAAACCCATGCTGTGCAAACCTGACGATGACCTGGGCAGCCTTCACAACGAGCTTGTGATGATGGTCCGTTGGAGGCAGCTTTCCGCATACATACGCGTCCACGACGCGGCCTGCGACGCGCAGCGAGTGCAGGGCATCACTGCTGGGCCGCGGGATGGCTCGTGGTGCCGGGGTCGAGGCAGGTGAAGGCGACTGTTGTTGTTGTTGTTGCTGTTGGATGGCAAACGTGTGTTCCTCGTCCTCCTTTTGTTCTTCTTCGTCCTGCAAACGGCGGGCGCCACGTCCGGTGCGAGCGCGGCCTCGGTGCACGGAACGCCATTTCTTCTTGTCTCCGCTCCATGCTCGCGAAGCCTTTGAGCTGCCGAAAGCGGTCATCACGCTCTGATCTTCCTGTGCGCTGGGCATGGGGCTGAGCTGGAGTGGCGGCAGTGTCTGCTCTGCGGGCTGCCTTTGCCCTCGCCTTTGCTCTTGCTGGGGCTTGCGTGCATCTCCTCCTTGGGGCGGCATTCTCGCCTTCGCACAGCGTTGGTGGTGGTGTCTGGTGGGGTGGTGGTGGTGACGTCGCGCGCAGCAAGCAAGGGGGCAGGCCTAGGGCTGAAGCCTTCGAGCGAGTGTGCGCGTGGGCGTGCGTAGGTGCGTGTGAGAGCAGAGATGCTTCGCTCTCTGAATGCGGGCACTCTGCGAGCGGCGGCGAGGTTCAAACTCTTGTGCACTGCGAGGTTTAAACGTGGTGTAGGCTTGCTCGAGATCTGCACGAGACGAGGCGATGAGCTGGAGGAGGTGGTGGAGAGGAGGGTGGATGGATGAAAGGTGGCGGTGATGGCGGTTGGTCGAAGTGCCGTGGCCTGTTAGCCTGTTGGATTCCAAGAAGGTAGGCAAGGCGATGGAACGGTGATATCGGCAGTAGGGAGGATGGTCTGGTAGCGAGGGAGGAAAAGAAGGGGTGCTTGTTGAGTCGGAGCCAACCACGAACAGAGCGGGCGCGTGGAAATGGAAGCACCCACCACCACGATTCAACAGACGAAGGGGCAGCTAGTGTACACTCATGCATCGAGGGCACAGAGAGCCAGCTATGGTGGTAGACCGAACGAAGAAAGGGCAGAGCAGGGGTAGTCACCGTCACCACCGCCAGCCGGTGGTTTACATGCATACCAGGTGAGCATGTGTGCCAATGACGCAAAGCTGAACGGTTTCCAGTTCCAGTTCCCAGAATCGGGTCGAGCAATCGCAGATGCATCGTCGCGCTTGCCGTCATCATCGAGGTTGCTGACTTACACCGACGACAGCTTTAGTCGCTATGTCTTTTTCATCATCATTGTCATCCACCAGCCAGCCGCGCTGCATCAAGCACATCGGCGCAGCCACTACTCCAAACAACACAAACCAACAGAATGAGCTTGCGACAGAACTGTCAATCACCACAGCCCCATTCCAGGAAACTTGCACTGTTCTGAGGATTCCAGCCATCACTTCGCCGAATCGGGCACATCACGAACCCGGTTCTTGAACTTGCGATTGTGGTCGTGCATGTTTTGTCGCTACAAACCACGCCCTCACAGACGCATCATGCCCAAGGCAATGATTGCAAGACACGTGCCAACACGTACGCACTGAGAAGGGCAACGCTACGCAACACAACCACACACAGGGCAGCTTGGTGTAATGGTGGTGGTGCTTATGTCTTCGGCTGGGGTAGCTTCTTGCTTTGGGCGGCGTCGTCGTGATTTCGCAAGACAGCCCTGGCTCTTGCACACACGCCGGCCGTGGTGGATCAGCAGCAGGTGCAGCGCATACCTGATCAAGTGGTCCAAGGGTCAAGTGGTGATGCGTGCACATCACGCGTGAGAGCATGTAAGCACACACAACCACACACAACCACACAACCACACAACCACACACACACACACACACACACACACACACACACACACACACACACACACACACACAACCACACACACACACACAGACCCAAGCGCACAGCACGAGCGTGAGGTGCGCGTCCGAACGAGGCCATCATGACCACTCACTTTAAGTCATCCGGAACAGTGGCGTTGAGGTGCTCGTAAGTCGTTTCCCGCGTCACGCCCGGCCACGAATGCAACGAAGAAGCGCTGCAGTTCTGGGTGTCGTTGCTAATCCGTTTGGCCCGCTTCCTGCTGTTCTTGCTAGCGACGGAACACGATGACTGCTCTTGTTCAACGACCCGGTTGTGCTTTCGCACCTCCACATCACTCGGCACCCACCCTGCTCTCTGTGTTCGTGCGTGTGTGTGTGTGTGTGTGTGTGTGTGTGTGTGTGTGTGTGTGTGTGTGTGTGTGTGTGTGGAAGTGAGGCACAAAAGGCTCATCTCACCGAAAACAACAACAGATGCAAACACAAGCATGCAAGCGCCAAGTGTGCTGCCACCTTGGCCAGACGGAAGACGTGCGTGTCCACAGCCATGTCGGGCCTTTGCATGGCAAACAAGAGCAGGCAGGAAATAGTTTTCGGACCCACGCCTTTAAACCTGCACAGTGAACAAGCAATGGTGCGGGGGCCATGCGTTTGTGAGCTGCTGATGCGCGTGCACAAGTGCCGCAAGCACACAAGCACACGAGCGTGCGAGTACAACAAGCACAGCATGTTTTCCATGAATAAACCACTAAACCCATACAACATGCACACACGTACACACAAATTGTTCCAAACACATTAAACACTCACTCACCCACACACCTACACCCACACACCCTCAAACACACCAAACACATATCCCCCAACACGCACCTGGCGAGCTGCTCCTTCACGGTGTGTGATGGCAGCTCCCGCAAATACTCCAGACTCAACTGCGAGTACAACAACAAAGTGTGGCAACACATCATCTCATGTCACGGCAGAGAATGCACATAATGTAATGCAGCATAAACCAGGCGCAGATCACTTGATGCACGATACCATCCAGCACCAGTTGACGTGCGAGAGTATTTTGTGTGTGTGTGTGTGTGTGTGTGTGTGTGTGTGTGTGTGTGTGCGAGAGTATTTTGTGTGTGTGTGTGTGTTTCCAAAGAGGAAAGGAGGAAGGAGCAAGACAGCGATAGCTTTGCCCGTGTGTGCGTGCACGTGTATTGTCGCACCTTGCCGTGCTCCGCGTGCAGTGTGTCGAGAATGGACTTGATGCGCCTGTGAATGGGGGGGGGGGGTGGCACAAACACAACCGGGGGGGGGGCGTATGTCATGCGCGTAAAATCAGACAAGTTGCAGAAAGCCATGTGGCATCGTGAGCAGATGCGTGTCATGTACAATGCATGATACCGAGGGCACCGAAGTTGCAAAACAGCAGAGTGGTGGAGTGCAATCGACTGAGCCCCACGCAACCAGCCACGTTGACGAGAGACGACAAGGAACGGAAGCAAGCACGAAGGCGAGCACGCATGCAACAAACAACAAGTACACCACACAAAAGTGCTTGATGAGACGAACCTTGATTTTGTTTGGGCGAGGCCTGCTGATCTGATGGCCGCCTCCAGTGCACCAACATCTGCGCTGTGCACATCCTCCCATGTTGGAAACCTGAGGAACACGCATTGCACACACGCACACACACATATGTGCACACGTACGAATACCCACACCCATATCCGTACACGTGCAAAACACAACCATACCCATACCAAACCACACACACACACACACATACCACATTTACAGACGAGAAACAAAGCATACACACCGCATTGACAGACGAGAAACAAAGCATACACACGCACATGCACATCGACTCGATGAGGCAATGTGGATGTAGATCTCATGATGACATCACACCACCACATCACACCGAATTGATAAAGGGGGAGGGGCGGATGGCAAGGAGATGCAGCCGAAACACGGAAATACACACTCACATACATCCACACACACACACACACACGTACACAGAGACACAGACACACACACACACACATACATACACACACAGACACGCGCACACAGATAGAATAAACGTGCAAGAGTTTAAGAGTTAAGGGTGGCTAGCGCACGTTTGTTTGAGATTGCGAAAGGCGGCGCTTGAGTTTGAATCGGTTGTGTTCTGCGACAGGATAGTGCGGACCTGCTCATAGCGATGCCCACGAAGACGCGTGCCATATGAAACAACAACAGCAGCAGCAGCACCCATGAGCATATGGTTGTTGTTGTTGTTGTTGTTGTTGTTGTTGTTGTTGTTGTTGTTGTTGTTGTTGTTGTTGTTGTTGTTGTTGTTGTTGTTGTTGATGATGATGATGATGATGATGATGTTGTTGTTGTTGTTGTTGTTTTTGCAAGCGATGAAACAAGCGCACATGCACGCACGAAAAACACACGACTGACGCGTGCAAGAATGTCATGCCAGTCAGGCAAAGCAGCGGCTGTGCCCCACAACCATCACCGCAGCCACACTGTGCTACTGTGGGCAGAATGCTGCCTTCCTGCCTTATGACTGTCCCTGTTCTCCTCCCTCTCCTTCAGCATGCACTTACGAGCGAGTCGAGGAGGTTGGTGTTGGCGGCTCTGTGGTGCGGCGGGCGCGTGCGAGGGCCGTACAGTTGCACCAGCGCATCGTGCATGTGCTTGCACTCAGCTGGTGTGGGGTGCGGAAAGCCGAGAAATGGAGTGGATTGCGTCGTTAACGAAGAGCACACCACATGAGACTCCCCTCTGTTCACATGTCCAGGTGTTGGTTTGCTTGCTTGTGTGGAATGGAGGCGCACAGGTTTCGTGCGTGTGGTGCTGTATCTGGCACGGGCATTGAGCGGCGCGTGTTCAGCCCCGTCATTGTCACCCTCGGTGTCCTCCTTGACTTTCAATACACTGTCTTCATCCTTGACACGAGCTGCACTTCTTTTTCTCCTCTCTGCTCTCGTCATCGGCCTCGTTGTCCCTGTGCTGCTGATGCTCGTGGTGCAACTAGCTTCAGTCATCCCATCCACCCTGACGCTTCCCAGCCTTCCGTCATCCTCCTCCGTCAAGGCACCCGCCAAGACCTCCTCCTCCTTCACATCTCCATCTTGTGCTAAGTTCCTCTCACTGTTTGGCGCATAAACCCCTTCCTTCTCCTCCTCTTCCATCCCCGCTTCCTCTTCCTCCTTCACCTTCTCTTTGCCCTTGACAGCGTGCACGCGTGCACGCTGCCGCCTCCGTCCACCACCACCACCACCACCACCACCACCTCGTCCACGGTCATTGTCAGCAGAGACGCTCAGCTCCATGTTGTGCAGACATTGGCTGGTCCTGTCGCCGCAACAATGTCCCCGCAACAACTGATTATGAATAACCATTGAAAATATGCACAAATTTTCAGCAACGACGATGCTGCGGTGGGATGAGGACAAGTGGGTTTTGCAGCAGCAGCGGCTCCAGCGCGATGGCGGTGGAGGCGGTGAAGGTGGTGAAGGTGGCGGCAATGGTGGGGAGGTGTGGGTGCCGTGGACGTCTGTGAGGGATGGAGTGAGCGAGGAGGGGAGTGGGGACAGCAGTGCTGTGATGAAGCGCATTGTAGACCTGTGCCTGAGGCCGCCGGCGTCGGCGAGCGACGCTGTGCTTGAGCACTTTCACCAGGACGACACACTCAACAGCCTGAGACAGGCAGCGCAAGCGCAAGCAGGCATCCCCGAGGCCGGCGAAGGCGCGCCGCCCGAGACACCGTCAAGCACCTGCAAACCGAGTAAGCGTATCGCTGCGTTTGTCTCCAATGTTACAGCCCTACACACATGGCTGAGCGGCACATTTTCACAATGGCTCGATGCCCAGCAGCCCGCCAACTTGACCGCAGCCAGCAACAACATGCAGCTCCTCCCCAGCATCCTCGCTGCCCAGCTTGCTTTCGGTACGAGAGCACACGCGCGTGTGCTTCTGTGTGTGTGCTTTTGTGCGTGCTTTTGTGTGCGTGCTTTTGTGTGTGTGTGCGTGCTTTTGTGTGTGTGTGTGTGTGTGCAGCTGTGATTGGGCCCTCAGCCGCGCTCATGCAATGTTTTGCTCCTCGTGCCTGTGATTTTTTTTTTTGGCGCCAGAGCACTCACTGTGGTTCAGAGGGAAGAAAGCCGCCTCGTTTCCATGGGACAAGCTGTGTACGCACCTCTACCCAGGTATGCTTGTGGGCGTGCTTGGGCGTTGGTGCTTGTTAAGTGTGCGTGTGTGATCGTGTGTGATCGTGTGTGATCGTGTGTGATCGTGTGTGATTGTTGGCTGTGTGGCCCTTTAATTACTGCTCGTGTGTGTGTGAATGCTTCCAGTGCATGCGTTCACACACGGTACACGTCACGCATCCGGCGTGCCACACGACAACACTGGCAGATGCAAAGCGAGGTGTCTTGTCCCCCAAGGAGTATGTTGTATCGCAGCACATGCAAGGCGTCCTCACTTTGCTTGATTATCAGCACATTCTTCAGCGACGATATTGCCTGCCCGCCGCCCTTGCCGCCATCACCACCACCCGCTTTCCCTTCATGGGGTGCGTGAGTTTGTATGTATGTTTGTGTTTGTGTGTGTGTGTGTGTATGTGTGTGTGTGTTTGTGTGTTTGTGTGTTTGTGTGTTTGTGTGTTTGTTTGTGTGTGTGTTCGTGGTTGTTCGTGGTTGTTCGTGGTTGTTCGTGGTTGTTCGTGGGTTTTCATGCATGCACCTGTGTGTAATCGCGCTTCCCCTCAACAGCTGTGTTTGTGCACGTGCACGAATCTCATCTCGACAACAGACAGTACATTTCCTTTGTGGTCCCGCTCTTACTCAACATCATCAACAACGAGGTGCGTGCATGCAGACGTCAAAACACCTCTATATCCATCACAATGTGTTGTAAGCACCAAACAAGCATACAAACATATTCCATCTTGCTCCTGCTGCTGTTGCTGCCGTTTGTTAGTGCTGGTTTTGTGCAAGCAGTCGCAGTGTTTCTGCCGTTGTGGTCGGTGTTGCTGGTGGCCGTGGTGCTGTTTGTTGATGTTCCTCACATTACTTTGTCGCCCTGCTTCTTGTTGTTGTTGTTGTTGTTGTTGTTGTTGTTGTTGTTGTTGTTGTTGTTGTTGTTGTTGTTGTTGTTGTTGTTGTTGTTGTTGTTGTTGTTGTTGTTGTTGTTGTTGTTGTTGTTTGATGGCCGCGGTGTTGCGTGGATCAGGAGGCGTTAAAAGCAGATGCCGTACGAGCGCTGCACCACTTCCTGCGCGAAGTCAATCCCGCCGACATCCAATGGAACGGGCTGCACCAGGTGCCCGCCTTGCGCCATATTCGCTCACAACATGTGCAGTGTGTGTATGTGTGTATGTGTGTGTGCGTGTGTGCGTGTGTATGTGTGTGTGTGTGTGTGTGTGTGTGTGTGTGTGTGTGCAGAATTGCACTTTGTGCATGCGGAACCGTTACTGTACAGCGTACAGCGTCATGATTGTTTGGTTGGTTCTCAACTTGTGTGTGATGGTGTCTTGTTGGATGGCGTTTGCATGCGCACGTGCCACTGCAGGCGATCTTCAAGGAGGTGTCGACGCTTCTGTACAGGACAGAGCCTGCCGTTGTTGCTACCGCGTGGCCGTGCGTTGCCACCCTACTGCCAATCCTCCAACGCCCACCTTCCTCCATGCAAGGTCGTACACCTCGACGACAAACGTGTTGTCAGCTTTTCGTTGTGTCCCATCTCATTTTCTGCTCACGCAACACAACACAACACACACACACACACACACACACACACACATATTCAACTCAATGCTCTCTCACACATGTCCTTCTTCTTCCACACACAATATAATGCACACACGCACACGCACACACACACTGTGCAGATTCTGTTTATGACGAAGTGTGGATGCGCGTGCTGTCGTTCTCGACGTTTGAGGCAGCACCACGGAAGCAGCTCGTTATTGCTCGCGCAATCACCCCTCTCATCAAGGTGTGCGTGTGTGTGTATGTGTGTATGTGTGTATGTGTGTGTGCGTGCGTGCGCGCATGTGCATGCGTGCACATGCGTGAGCTTCCTCTACTTCTTCCCAGGCCTTTACTTGGTGTAACTTCCCCTCCAACAAAGCACTCACAACACTTACCTGCAACCACACACACACACACACACATACAACACAACACATACAACACAACACATACTCAACACATGCACCACCATCCTCCCCTGCCGTTAGGTGAGTGGGGTGTATTGTGTGCTGCACACGCGTGCAATTCTGCAGCTGCTGAGCGGGATGGTTGCGCCAAAGCGCTCGCCCGCGCCAACCACTACCAGCACCGCCATTGGCAACAATGGTGTCGACGCTGTTGCCGGTGGCGATGACGAGGACGATGAGGATGGGATGCATGCGGGTGTGTTGGAAGCAGCCGTGCATGCGCTCTTGGCGTTTTGTGATCAGACACACGCACGCCCATCGCGGCAAAAGGCACAGGTGGGCAACGTGTGCATGTGTATGTGTATTTGAACGTGCGTGCATGTGTGTGTGTGTGTGTGCATGTGTATGTGTGTGCGTGCATGTGTGTGTGTGCGTGTGTGTGTATGTGTGTGTGTGTGCTTTTGTGCACATGTGTGTGTGCGAACGTATGGAATCACATCAGCTGATGGTTGCCTACGTGCCTGCCTGCCCGCCTCCCTCCCTCCACGCTTCCTCCTCATCCCCTGCAGGCAATTCAAACCGCTTATGATGTTGTTTGCGCCCGGCTGTCTTCATCGCCAGCAAGTGCAGCACACCACGACTTGCACACACTCAAGACGGCACTTGCCTCCCACCTTTCCTCATCGTCTTGACTCTCATAATGCTCCAACCTGAAGGTTTGTTAGTTAGGCGTATCATGCACGTTACACACACACACCCACACACCCACACACAGAGAGACGTAACGGGTGCTTGCACATTCATTCTCTTGTTGTTTCGGTGTATGCTTGTATTTGGATCGATCAAACCACAGTCACATCACAACAAACGCTCGAAAGTATCGCTTTCGTCTCTCAATGAACACATGGAACCCAACATGGAAAGGGGCTGTTAACACAAACAAGGGGGGGGGGGAAGGTCGAAGAACAACGGCGGTTTTGGATGTAGTGCGCTCGCAGACGCTTTCAAGAAGAAACACAAACAAAGACACGTGCACGCACAAACACAGGAACAACGACACGCACACGCACACGCACTTACACAAATGACACAACAACCGACACGATGCAAAGGGACGACGTTGGTGGGAAGGAGGGAGGGGTTGTCCTTCCTTCCTTTCTTCCTCCTCCTCCATCTATTTGGTGGTGGGGACTTGCTGTGTGGGTTGCGCTTATGCGAGAATCTCGTACTCTGCGTTCTTGTTCATGCAGCACGAGCCAATGACGGAGAAGAGGGCGAGGCCGCAGGCGACGCAGGCGACCCAGTAGCCGTAGATGAAGTCGTACTCGCTGCTGAGGGAGTGGTCCTTGTAGCGGAAGTAGCAGCCGACGGTGGCGGCGGTGAAGATGAGGGACACGACGAGCAGGGAGACGGTGGCGCACTTGGAGCGGCAGCACACGCCAAAGAGGGAGGCGAGGGCGAAGAAGCCACCCAGGACAAGACCCGCAACGGCACCATCCCGTTCTGCAGAGGGCTCAGACTTGATCTTGTTGAAGTCAATCTTGCGAATCCCAGAGCATTCCGTGGCCGAGTAGTTGCCGATGGTGGTGGTGTTGCACTGCTGCCACAGGCTGGACTTGATCTGCACCTTGAAGTCGTCGCTCAGCTTCACCTCAGCCTCAACCCTGCACGAGCAACAGTGGAAAGTAGAACGAGGGCAACGGCATGTGAGTGAGTGAATGAATGAGGACAACCAACGCAAGACGCGAATGAGGGGTATCAAGGGTACTTCGTGCGCTTTGTGAACAAGGCAAGGCGTGACACCCAACACAGGCGACAACACACAGGCCAAACCACACACACCCGCGCTGACCGACAAACAAACAAACAAAACAAAACACACATGGAACAAGAAGAAGCAGGACATTTGACGCACCAGAAGACTTTCGGGAGCAGCGCGACGACGCACACGCCAATGGTGAGGATGGCAAACAAAACAGCAAAGCCACCGCGGTGTGTGAAAGCCATTGTCGGTTTGTGGTTTTTGTGAAAGAAGGAGCGTGGGAGATGAGGAAAGACGGCCGGTTGTGCGCGTGGGGTGGGTTGTTGTTGGATGGATGGATATGAGGCTTGTGCTTCTGCGTGCGTGCCTTGCGCTTGTGTGTATTGGCGGTTGGATGGAGAAAAAAAATGGCCACGCCATGCAAGAGGAAAAGATGAAGCAAAGCAAAGCACACACGCAAGCAACGATGACTCATCGATGAGTCATCACCGGTGGGTCTTTCGCGAATTCTCTACAGAATGGTTGGCAAATTGCACATTGGCAGAGAGCATTTGCAAATTGCGAGCACAAGGAACAAAAAAAAAAAAGAGAAGAAGAGAGGCAACCAACGTGAAAGAAAAGGTGAGCAAGCAAGATGAAGTGAGGGAGGTTGGTTGGCTGGTGATGAAAGCATGCATGTGTGTGTGCGTGTGTGTGAGCGTGTATGCGTGCGTACGCGCGCGCGTGTGTGAGCGTGTATGCATGCGTGTGCGTGTGCGTGTGTGCGTTTGTACGTGTGTGTGTGTGTGTGCGAGCACTTGTGTATTTGTGTGCGATGTTGGCTTTTGTGCGTTTATGCACACGACTTGACACCACGCACACGCTTGCTTTCCCTCGCTTTTCTGTTTCTCTCTCACTCATGTCACCTGTTCACAACTCACATCATCACATCATGTTGTTTTATGACAGAGGAAAAAAAAAAGCTGAGACACCATGGCCTTCCGTCGTAGCCTGACCCTGTTCGCTCAGGAGGAGAGTGGTTTCATGGCCGCCCTCGGCCGTTGGGCCCGTAACGCCTCCGGCTACCGCAAATACGGTTGGTTCATCGTGTGTGTGTGTGTGTGTGTGTGTGTGTGTTCTGAGGAGGGAAGGGAGAAGAGCATTGTGAATGCACGTATGTGTATTATGTTGTGTGTTGTGTGTTGTATGTTGTGTTGTGTGTTGTGTGTGTACACGGCCTTGGTGGTCGCATGGCACACATGCACCGAACATCCTTGCACACGCTTTGACTCGTCGTTGCGTACGCTCTTCACCCATGCTTCGCATTCCTACAGACACACACACACACACACACACACTTACGCTCACATACATGTATGCACCCACATTCACTCACACACACACACACACACTCACTCACTCACTCACTCACACTCACTCACAACACCCGCATCCACTGTCAAACACACTCGCAGGTCTCTTTGCTGATGACCTGATTCGTGAGGAGATGCCTGGCGTGCGTGAGGCCATTTCTCGCCTTCCCCGTGAGGAGCAGGACCTGCGCTACTTCCGCCTCAAGAGGGTATGGTCTGCGTATGTGCACGTGTATGCAATTGTGTGTGCGTGTTGTTGTTGCATCAGTTGCATCAGCCGCACACTATGAACCCTGTTCTTCTCCCATGGTGCACACGCTTGTGCAAACAGCTGTGTGGTGAACACAGTCCTTCCCCATGCTTTCCAGTCACTTCCATCCGTCTACTGCTGGTGTTTCTTGCGGTTGCAACCATCCCATACAGGCGCTTCAGCTCTCTGTTCAACACAAGTACCTCCCCAAGGAGGAGTGGACCACAGACGAGACTGTGAGTTTGTTTTGTGTGCATGTGTGTGGTGTATGTATGCGTGTGTGTATGTGTGTATGTGTGTATGTGTGTGTATTTGTGTGAGCGTGTGTGTGTGTGCTCGCAGTGTCTGCTTACGCCTGCACCTTTCTCAGTCACCCTTTCACACTTTGACACTGATCTTACCAACGCCGCCATCACGCTCACACTCACACACATTTCCCACCCCACCTCCCACTTTGCCAGGAGCGCTACTACCTGACGCCCATCATCAAGCAGGTGGAGCAGGAGCTCAAGGAGAAGGAGGAGTTTGACTTCAAGCTGTAACCAACACAACAACAACAACAACAACAACAACAACAACAACAACAACAACAACAACAACAACAACAACAACAACAACAACAACACCAACACCAACACCAACAACAACAACAACAACAACAACAACAACAACAACAACAACAACAACAACAACAACAACAACAACAACAACAACAACACACCACCATCTCTCCTTCCCAACGTGAACTGCCTTGCTGCCTTGAGTGTTGGTTGAAACATCTCTCTCCCTTTTGCCCCCCCCTCTCGTCTTGCTCGCTTTGTATTTGTCTTTGTTTGGTTGTGAGCCTTTGACGCTGCTCGTCGCGTGCCTCTGTGTGTGTGTGTGTGTGTGTGTGTGTGTACGCGTGTGTGGAGCATGCTAACGTGCTTGTGTCGAAAATTACACACGCTTCACAGACGACCACGTGTGCGTGTGTCAGAGATGCGGGATGGAGCGGTACATGCACAAAGCCAGACAGAGAGAGAGAGATGGAAGGAGAGAAAGAGAGAGAGAGAGAGATCATGTAACACACAGCACCACAAATACAACACACACACACACACACGCATACATACACCACACACATGCACACAACACACACACACACATCACCAAACACCATCCTGCTTAGATGGTGCAAATTTGCCAAAGATCACTGGCTGAAAGCGCATGGTCGCATATCCACCGCATGTATGTGTCGTCGCAGCGCCTAATGCGTATATGGTCGATTGTTACATGAAGCTGTTCCTGGAATTCCTCAAGTGCCTTTTTACCCAGGTGTTCCTGTTCTTCGTCTGCGGCCCCATCTGCGCGTGTGTGAGACAGACAGCCAAGATGGTGAGCTTGCTGTGGTGGTGTGGGTGGTGGTGGAGGTGATCAAGATGAGGCAGATGGGATGGGAAGGGCGAATGTGCGTGTGTGCCGAGGCAAGAGATAGCAACTGCAGCACGTGCGGTGTGGGGAAGCGCGATTGTGCGTGTGCGTGTGTGTGTGTATGTGCGCCGTCTGTGGACGCACACGCGTGCGGCAAAGGCTAGTGTTGGTCTTGTGGGTATGATGCACCAACACAGCAGCAAAGATCAAGATGCTTCGACGCATGTGCGTGATGACACGGCCCTGTGCCCAATCGTTGCTCATTCTTGCTGCGCTGCTTCCACGATCCATGTGGCCACCACTTCAATCAACAGACAAAGAAGCGCCGTAACAATGGACGCAACAAGCATCACCGCGGTCACAACAAGTTCATCCGCTGTGACAACTGCGGTCGCGCTTGCCCCAAGGTCCGCTGCCTTCTTTTGCAATGCCCTTTCCAGACTTGTGCTCGCCTGCCATTGTGCCTCCCTCACGTGTGCACGGCTCGTGTGTGATGGGCCAGGAACCGCTTTGTTCAGCCATGACCTGCTGCTCATGCGTTCACTCAACTCTATTATGTGTATGGCGTTTGCTTCTGCTCTTTCCTTTCTCGTTCCGCACGTTTGTCCAACCACCACAGGACAAGGCCATCAAGCGCTTCCTCGTGAAGAACATTGTTGAGCAGGCCGCTGTTCGTGATCTTGCCGAGGCTTCCGCCTACGAGAGTAAGCACATTGACCATTGAAGAAAGCGACACGTGTGTGTTTCGTGTCAGTGTGTGTGCGCGTTGGAAGTGTGTGTTTGGGGGGGGGGGGTAGTTTGGACGTGACCACAAAGGAGTAGACCCTTGGTGCCTGTGTTCAGCTACCGAGCCTGCTTCATGCCTCATCGCTGTGTTGTGTTTGCTGCACCACCTTTTGTCGTGCACACTGTGCTGTGCTTCGTTGTACTCACACTGCACACCACACACTCTCTCTTTTACCTTTTGCAGCATACGTTCTTCCCAAGCTGTACCTGAAGATGCAATACTGCATCTCCTGCGCCATCCACTCCAAGCAGGTCCGCAACCGTTCCCACGAGGGCCGCCGCGACAGGACTCCTCCCCCTCGCTTCCGCCCCCGCGCGGTACGTTCATCTGGCCTGCTTTGCTTGCCCCGGTGTTTTTTCCTGTTTTGTTGCTTGTAGTGTGGGTTGTGGCTGACTGCACAAGAGACACGTGCGTGCCCTCCTTCTTGTGCGCTGCCTGCCACCACCACCACCACCACCACCTCTCGCTCACTTGGGTTTGTTTTGCCTTTTGCCTTTTGCCTGTTGTTTATCATCATCATGACAGAGGAAGCCCCAGGGCCCTAAGCCTGAGGCTCCCAAGAAGGCATAAGCGTCCCGCTTGCTTGCTTGCTTACTTGCTGTGGTGACGTGTTGAGTCTGTTGGTTGCTGCTCCCTTGTTTGAATGAAGATTCAAAGCGTTCCTTTGTTCTTTGAGTACATCAACAACTCCCCGAGTGAACCAACGTGGAATGAGGATGCGAGAACAAGTGCCACACGAAACACTTGTGCTGCGAAATTCAAACACACGAAAGAAAAAAGGAGAGGGAGACAAAAACCGTCAAGCACTTTGCTCGACCTTGACAATGGAGCAGCAAGAAGAGCTGGCGCTTGCGCTGGTGCGCGAGTTCCTGTCCTCACACGTATGTCTGCATCTGCGTCTGTGTGTGTGTGTGTGTGCGTGTGTGTGTTTCTGTGTGTGCAAGTCCTTGTATGTGTGTGTGTAAGTCCTTGTATATGTGTGTGTGTGTGTGTGTGTGTGTGTGTGTGTGTGTGTGTGTGTGTGTGTGTGTGTGTGTGTGTGTGTGTGTGTGTGTGTGTGTGTGTGTGTGTGTGTTCCTAGATCTTACTCAGCACTGCCTCCCATTCCTCCGTTGTCGCGCGCGCGCGCGCTCTCTCTCTCTTTCTATCTTTCTCTCTATTACCCCCTCCTGCCCTCCCCGCTTCGATCAACAGGGCTTGAAGAAGACGGTGCGCATGCTGGACAATGAGAAGCCACGAACAGAGGCGTCCATCACCCGGAGATCAGACATCGCACGCTCTTTGGGTATTCAGACATGGATCAAGCAGAACAAGGCTCGCCCAGCCCCTTTGCCGTAAGCAACCCATCATGATCCCTGAGTCGCCTGCATGTTCCCAGTTGGTTTGAGCCTTTCGCAATCGCCTCGTTCTCTTATCCACTGCCATCGACTGCCGCTGCTGACTGCGCCCATGTTCTGCAGCTCCATGTTGGAGGTGATTGCTGAGAACGTTGCCACTCAGCAACAAGGCCAGCCATCTGCCCCACAGGTCGTGCTGTGTGTGTGTGTACATGTGTGTACATGTGTGTGTGTACGTGTGTGTGTACATGTGTGTACATGTGTGTACATGTATGTACATGTGTGTACATGTGTGTGTGTGTGCGTGCGTCTGTGTGTGCGTTCGTATCCCGATCAGGGCGTCGCAGGCAATCACCACCGCCTTTAACACATTCACTTGCACACACTTGCACACACACACACACACACACACACACACACACACACACACACAGAAGTCCAAGTCGACCAGTGGGGCATATTCGGCTGCAAGTGTGACGGAGAGTCTGGGTATCGGCAAATTGTCACTGGACAGGCCAGCCAAGTCGCGCGTCAGTGCACGTGCAACCGCAGCTGCCGTGGAGGACCTCTCAGCGCCACGCCCCATCACACGCAGGTATGCAGGCTGTTGTTAGATGCTGCTGTCGTGAGCAAATGATGCTCCTGTTTGCATGTGTTGAGCAGACGGCACCGCACATTCAACACACGCACATCTGAGAGCCGCGCTTCTGTCTGTCTGTCTGTTCTGTCTGTCTGTCTGTCTGTCTGTCTGTCTGTCCCCAACACACACACACACACACACACACATACACCCTTCCTCCCCCTCTCCCTCTCTTACGCGCGCACACGAACGACAACACGAAACAGAGGGGTGGCACGTGTGGCTGGTTCTGCGGGACATGACAGCAGCGACAGCGACAGCGACAGCAAGGACGACGACCAAGCACTGCGCCCGTCACGCACCGCAACCAAACCCACAACAGCACCACCACCACCACAGCCACCGCAGTCTGCAACGGTGCCAGCACGTGCGCGGGCAACGGCGGCGGGGCGGCGGGTCCGTGGTCGTGCGTCCCCTTCAGGTCTCGTCATGGAGGACGTGGACGAATTGGAGATTGAGGACGAGTTTGGCGCCTCTGTATCCGTTGGTGGCGCGCGGCGGGCACGACCAGCTGCTCCGCGGGTCATCTCGAGTGGACGATCACGGCCGCAGGTGACGGCGTCAGCGGCGCGTGGCAGGACCATCGGCGCAGACGAGGCCGTGGTGCGTTGCGCTTGCCGATGCGCCATGGCATTCGTTGCACACGTGGCACGCGGTGGAGGTGCCGGTGGTGATGATGATGATGATGATGATGATGATGATGATGATGAGCATCACGTGTGGGAGATTTTCACATCCTCACAATGTGCAACATGCACACACACACACACATATGCACACACACGCACGCACACACACGCACACACGCACGCACACGCACACACACACACACACACACGCACGCACACACACGCACACACACATAAACGTGGTGCAGAAGCTGAAGCGGGTAGTGTTTGGGTCGTCGCGGAGTGCCTTCAACGATGCATGGCTGCGGCAGAACTTTGTGTTCAACAGCACTGTGAAAGGGTTGCAGTACGGGCTGGTGCAGCACGAGGGCGGGCCCTGTGGCGTGCTGGCCGTTGTTCAGGCAATGGTGCTGAAGGAACTTCTCTTTGGCAGCAGCCCACCAACGTGCGCACATGCAGCTAGCACTCATCAGCCTGTGATGCACTGTGACGAACGTTCATCTGTGATTGTATGGGTGTTGTGTTTGGCTGCTTGTGTTCCCTGGGGTCGTGCGCCTCGCGTCTCTTCTTCCTTTTCCTCGTCTTCGTCTTTGTTGTCTTACTACCACCACGCCCGTCTCCCTTACGCACTGTGGTGTTGATTTGGGTCTGGCGCTGCCATCAACAGGTTGGAGCCGACACCCGAGCAGCAACATGACGCCCTCGTCGCAGCAATCACGTCCATCCTCCTTCGAATCCGTACGCATGGCCTGCTGTTGGCCCGAGTTGGATGCATGGATGTATGGAGGGGTGCATGGATGCATGGTTTGGTGGTGCTGGAAGCA